TTTTACTGGAGGTCAGTCACTCTACAAACATAGGCTAACATCCCTGACAATCATTAAATGTGCACGTTACGTCAATCAATTCTAGAGATGTCCCAACTAAACTTGCCAAAGATCTTAGATACTTCAGAAATTCGGCAACAGAAGTTAAACCACCTCAGAAAGAAGGATAGGGCCACTTTGACTATTCTCAATGAAACAGCCTCGGCGCTCAATAAGACAATTTCGGATGTTGATCCCTTTTGCACACTTGCCACGTGTCCAAATATGAGGACCTCCATGTGGGTCATTTTGTATGATTAGTAACAATAGTCCCCCAAATCTATGTACGATTCATGGGAAACATAAAATTTACAATCTCTTGATCAACTTCGGACAAGGAAAGAAATCCATAATGCCAGTCCCCCAAGTCCAATTGTTTACATATTCTCAAGAATTTTCCAAATGTCTACACCAATGACCATCAGGATAGGGGCTGAGGCATATGTGCCTTGTACATATAAGTGGCCTTTTTCAACGTATATGGAGATTCGAATTTATAAACTCCCAAGTTATCGGGTGTAAAATTCGAGGTGATTTGTACCGTTGCTGAAGTAGTTAGAGTGTCAACTGAAGTTGCATGCTATACGAGACGATTTGAGTAGTTTGAACGTCTTTCATCATTTTTTACCACAGATTGCTATGTTGTCATTTGTCCTTCCCGAGGAGGGTGGTGCTCTCAATTTTCAACGTATTCCACGTGTTTTGATCTGGGCATTAAAGCTGAAATGTTGGTCTCATCGAATGGTCTATAAGTGACCTACATTTGGACGGTCCAGATCTTTGAGATGTGACGGTTAAAAATGCATGCATTTGCCCATAAAAGACTCATTCTTGAACATTCATTTGTTGGTGTAAATTGCTTTGTCTCGTTTCTTTGCAATATAAACCAAAATCATACTTGTACTCGGTGGATTTGAGGAGAGTTGATGCGAGAGATTGCTTGGTTTCGAACAATTCTATGGAGAGTACAAATTGGGTGATCCTTGGATGTGGTGTACGGGATGCTTGGATTCGTAAAAATGGAGATCAATCTTCTTTGAACGCATTGGGAACAATGCTGAAGTGCGGAGGGTCGCCCAGTGCCTTAAATAAATTATGTTGCAATAGGGTGCGAATTTCATCCGAAGCCCCTTGGGTCGCACCATGTGGATCCACAGGGATTTGTACCAATGCACCTCCCCTGGGCAGCTAGGTAGTCTTCTCTGCCAGCATTTGCTAGGCAGAGTGTATTGTAGCCATAGCTTTAAGTTTCAACATGGTCTGACAGACCTCAGATTGTAAAGGTTGTAGTATGGCACATGTCCTTAAAAGGGAGAGGTTCAGCGGTTTATGTGTCTAATGTAGTGATTATGCTTTATCATTGTTGATCATTTTTTATTATGTTTGCGAGCGCTTTGTAAGTAGCTGGTTGCCATTGATTGCAATGTGTTTGTAGTAATAAATAAAATCTTCATCTTTTTTATGCGAATCTGTGTTTGAGCTGGACTTTAAATCATTACTACTTTGAAGTTGGGCTGTTTCGAGAGGGTCGCACCCTTGCAATAGTCCTCCTTTGTTTTTTATCCTTTTATAGGCGACTTTTGTGCCTTTTTACAGAGGTCGGCCTTATAAGATTGAACCCTTCGCGTTATTTTGCCCTTGGGGCTGGTTTTTATTTCTGAGGTGAACCCCTTCGGGATCTAACCTCCCTTAACTAGGTGCCACCTCTTGGGCTGGACCTCGTTGACGTTTGCTGTTAAGCTCACATTTTGAAGTACTTCTATGCGCTAATGCCCTTTGGGCTATTTTCTTCTATTCCTTCAAAGGAATTGCCTTGAAAAATGCTATGCATTTTGCTGAGGGCTTTGGCGGCTTCTTCTTCTGGCGTGGAGTAGGTCATATCATATTACTTGCCCAGAAACAGTATAAAATGACACGTATACTGCACTGGTAAGAATGGTGTAAAGGGTCATGAAATATGCTAGTCTTATGTTACATACAAGCTATCAGCAATTCAAATGTAGCTGTTAAAACAACGGGGAACTAAAAGTGAAACAACTTAATAAACATTTGTATAAGTATCTATAGTAGATGTTGCCTAAAGTTTTTGTTGAAGGAGATGAGGTTGTGTGCCGAAGCTACCTACTTCAAATACATTATGAATGAAGCTGAGGCCCTCATTTTCTTTGTCTTGTGTGTATCTTTCGATTTTGCGAGTCAGTGTTGACGGCTAGTACATAGTCCTCCTTTCTAAGGCGTCCACATATTTTGGGGATGATTCCATGTGGGGTCTTTCCTTGTCATTTTTTGCATTTGGCGCTTTGATCGAGGTGGTTCATCTTTACCTCTTCTTTGAATAGACTTCTTTTACATGGCTCGGTTTGAAGCTATACATAGGGTAGGGCGATGCTCTCTTTGACCCATTCTGATTCTCTTATTTAGATGGGGCTGAAGTTTTTAGCCTCGAAATAGGAGGGTCGGCCTTCACCTTTTGAGCTAAGGCTTTCTTAGATAATATAATTCTATGAGACATATGCATGAGCTACTTTGACAGGAGAGGACAGCCAATCACACTTTTCAGCCATTGCTGTTGAGGGGTTAGCTCCTACTGGCTGACGTTATTGGGCCTGTCTTGGCAATTATATGCCTTAGCGCCTCTTTCCACAAGAGGAGCTAAATGGCCGAAGTTGGCGGTTATTTTTTTAGACAAGGCCTTTTGTCTTTCTCATGAGGGTAATTCTTAAAACTTCCGTCTCCTGACTATATCCTTTGTTTGGGATGAGGAAGACAACGAATCACTTTTTTGCGAAGTTTATTTCCTTAGTTCATCGACCTGTTGTGAAGGTCGGCTCATGTCAGTCGGAGTTGTGAAGTCTGGCCTGGTAGTTATATGTCTTAGCACCTCTTTCTGTGAGAGGACTTCGCATGTGGTGATCAGTTGTTTTTTTATAAGGACGTTTTCTTGGGACTATGCCTTTTCTTCTTACGTGATCAATCTCGGTTGGTCCGTATCCGAACTAGTGCAGCTCGTCTTTCACGCCTATTCCTAGGTGGGGGATGCATGTATCTATGGGCAAAATCATCTGGGGTTCTTAGTTGAGGTTGTCTATGCTAATTTCCCTCTAACAAGGAGTTAAATAGATGTGGCCAGTTCAAGGAAATAGAGGGCATCTGGCCTAAGCAGGCGGAATGGGGGGTCGATCCTGTCTGTTTCTTATAGGACCAAGCCTATCGAAGACACTGGCCTGTCTCCTTGGCGCGTTAGCTCTGCTGCATTCCAATGGAATGGCAGTCTCCTCACTTATTCAGTCGGTGACGTAGTCGGTAACCATGTCCACATCCACCTCTCTTTCTAGTGGAACGACCTTCTCGTTTTGTGAGGAGTTGGCCAGTTGACCTTGCATGTGATCCAGTAGTTTTCAAATTGCAACGTTTTGCCGGGAGATGGTCCTCACGTTTGCTGTGACGGCGGCCAACTCTCTGGTGAGCTTTGTTGCTAGCCCGGGCCTACATTGGAGCCACTTCTTTGGTGGCGGGTCGGGGGGCAGTTGGCAGGGGCTCCTGGATTATTGGGGCACTCCGCCAGGATGTCTCCTCGCCAACACATTTTTTAGTCTGTCTTGGTGCGATTTCTTTTTTTGTCGAACTCATGGCTGCCCTTCTTGATGAATAGCCTTTCTTTGGCTCCGTTTCTGGAGTTGTTTTCCTTTATTCGGAATCCATAGTTGTGATGCAAAAAAGTATTGGATCGAGAAACAAATCTTGATCTAGCTACAAGGATGAGGCTTCATTTAAAATTATGGAAAGCCCAATTCAGTCGATAAAGAAAAAATCTCCTTTCTAAAATTAGAAACCCATCGGTAAATGCGCAATATGTGACTACCGTAGATTGGCCGTAGATAGATGAACAAGCCATTACTTTTCTATTCATTATTATTTCTTTTGCTAGGCCCATAACTAAAAAACCCACTTTCTTACAATTACGAGGTTTATTCGAATATGAAATTCAATCTTGGAAATACAGCATCCCGCTGTTTTGTGCTGGAAAGGAAAGAATATCTTTTACATATCCACCCAGTTTGTCAACTTTTTGGGAAATGATAAAAAGAAGAATATCTCTACCTACACTAGAAAAATTCAAGGATTTTTGTTCTTGATCTTTTTTTGAAAACTCATATTTCGTTATCTTTTCTATGGGATTCTCGTGGTTCAGCTGTTCCAAGTTTCTCACAGACGAAGCCAATTTATTGACCTCCGAAAATGGCCAACAGATGTCATTAGAAGATAGTGTACACGTGGGCCCGTTTTGTAGTGTTTCTGGTATAAATAAGTTTGTAGATAAAGAAGAAGATAGAGACAATGTATTGTGTTCTCTTTTCTATTCAAGGATTCATCCTTTAAACAATACAAGAATTGTTTATTTATATTGATCAAGCCGACGTGGTTATCGTTGGATTGGATCTATGTGGCATGATCTGCCAACCCTTTGTGTCACATCAACTCTATTACACATTAATTACATTAATAGACTTTTGACAATAGGTCATGTTACATCAATCAATTCTGAAGACGTCCCAACTAAACTTGCCAAGGATCTCGGATACTTCAGGAATTCGACAGCAGAAGCTAAACCACGTTGGAAAAAAGGATAGGATGACTTCGGCTATTCTCAGTGAAACAACTTCGACGCTCAATGTGACAGTTTCAAATATTGATCCCTCTTGCATGCTTGCCATGTCTCCAAATATGAGAACCTCCATGTGGTTCATTTCGTATGATTAGTAACAACCTTATTCTTCTTGTTTGAAGGTTGACGAGGGCTGGAAATATTTAAAATATTTATCTCTCGTGGCTAAAACAAATTAAGAAAAGCGCACAATTTGCCATCCTCCAGAGAAAGGAAAAGACGTGTTTCTTCTAAAACAAAATTTGAAGCTTATGCTTAAATATCAAGTAATTTAAAGAGTAACGAATATAACAATTTTTTTGTGCAAGTGAACATCTTAACATAAAGAAATATTAACAAAAAGTGTATTTTAAACGATAATACAAAGAGTAATGCGTTTCTTTCCTAAAAATCATCCCTAGAATATTTCGAAATAACGAGTTTCTACAAAGGACCTGTATGAATTTTGGATCATGACTAATTTTGGCAAATTTATGGGCACACAACAACTAAAGATGCACAAGAGACGCCCAATAATATCAAGAACCTTTTCTTTTCCTACCCTTAAATAAGAAATGAAAGTCAAGATACACAATATTAGCCATCGAGGATCTCTTCAGCACGTAAGAAACAAATAGCCTTTTTCTTCAATTTCCTCTGCTGTTACGGAAAAGGATAACGTTGGAGACGATCGATCAGATGAAGAATTAGAGCTATTTCACTGATGCCGATGCCTATGGTGATGGCGATGGGGATGGGGATGGGGATGGCGATGGCGGTGTTTACTTGTATGCTGCTTACCCGAGTCTGAAACCTCAGAAGAGCTTGAATGATGATGCCTGCGTCTTCTGCTCCTCTTCTGATACCTACCATCATCTGAACTCTCTGACGAACTCGACTCGGAATGTTTTTGCTTGCTTCTCTTGTGTTTCTTCTTTGATCTTCTCAACTTATCAGCAAAAGAAGATGACCCTCTTTCTCGATGATCACCCGATTCCGGACTAGATGGCAATGACCTCTTGTGCTTGCTCTTACCTGACTTCTTCTTGGGTTTGCTTGAAGAAAAGTTGGTCAGCAACTCAGGTAGATCGACCCCGCCCAGGAACCCTGCATATCAGATGGAAAAGGACAGATAAAATTCACGTCAAAAAAATCAATAACTTGATGATTCCCTCGATTTTCACAAAGTTCGCACAGAGGTTTCACCTCCATATTCATCGAAAATGTCCTCGGCAACTATCTGCTGATTGGGGTCTTCAGGATTGAATCCACCATGAGGAGGGCTCATACCGGGCTTCTGTTTCAGCTCCCACTTTAGAGGCTGCAGGACAAGTCAAAAGGATTAGACATATGGCTAGAAAGTGAGCTAGGTAGATAATTTTTCTTGGAGCACAATATTGAACGAAATGGAGGTCATTTCTTCTGATAATTCCTGACAGAACTGAATATTTAGTGGCCAGTTTGAAATTCTAATTTATTATCTCGTGGAGCGTAATTCAAAGTAAACAGATAGAAACCTCAATCAATAATTTCAAGGAGTTCATATATATCACTTGGAAACCGCTTGTATCACCAGTTAGAATTAGAACTCGCCATATGTCATTTTGTAAGAACAAATAAACCATAATACAGATCATAATGCCCTGTGCATTATATACTCTAATGTTTTCTGCTGCTTCTCCTTAGATTTCCTTACCAATACATACAAATTTCCTTAGTAATATATATTAATACAGTGTATAGCCATTCATTAACATAGGAATAGAGACTCTTGATAGCTTTGATTTCAGGGTGCAGTTGTAAATAATTTTATACCTGTTTCTTTTTTTTGTTTGAGACGACGAATTATGCAACTCTGAGATGTGATGTGTCTATAAATGGGTTTTGAGTTAATTCAGCATCTTGCAAAATTGATTGGTGTGTATTATCGAACACAAACCCAATCATTAATGACCAAATCACTCAAGGCTCGCACCTTGCTTAAAAAAAGTTCAGGTCCCTCTCTAAATTGAAAACTCAAAGAGGACCTAGAAGATAAAAATCTATACATGACAATTAAACAACTAAAAGCATGGAATAGTTTTTCCAAAGATAACCTCGCTAGGATTGGTTTGAGCCAGTATAGCAGTCAAAGGATCATCTCTTTTCAATCGATTCTCCTCATTAGGCATTATAGCATCTTTCAATGGACATTCACGATCGCCACTTTGGTGACCAAAATTTCCACATCTCAGACACTTCACATTCCGTATCTCGACTCCAAAGGGTTTCACCCTGGCAGGAGCACCAGTTTCTAACCTGGAAATGAAAATATTAATTATATTTACAGCAGCAAATACATGGACTAGGATCATGAAAGAAACCTACAAAATGACAAGGGGATCATAGTGTTACACAAACTGTCACTTTGGCATCCCCCAACACCAGACCCACAGTTGCAACACCAGCATCCCCCACCCCCTTAAAAAAAATAACAAAAAAAAAGGACACAGCGCAAATCTTACTCGAACAGATCCTTAACAAATAACAACATAAGTATTGGGGGAAAAAGGGTCCACACTGCCTACAGATATAAAGCATGTTATCCACTGCTATAAGAATGTACAAGATATAAGTAGAAGAGTATGTAGAAAGAGGAGAAATTAATTTATTTTTATTTTTTTCAACTGGACTATAAAACCAGTCAAAAAGAGACAAGGTACTAGAATCTAGCAGATGATTGAGAATCTGGCCTAGATCGAGAAAAAACTTTAGCAGGTTAGTAGGAATAACTTTAGTTGCCTGAACTTTGGTTGGAAGAAAAATTGTCTCAAATAGATAATTTACTAGATGGTATGCAACTACCATGTGAGATAAGCGGAGCTACATAAGAGTGGAATCCTAATATTTTACGAGTCTCGGAAGCTAGGGTGGCATTTCTTTGGAATAAATTTATATGCCAGTTATCGGGACAAGAATCAATGAACAAGTTGTTGCATTTGCACGAGCTTATTGACTGTACTAAGCAAGGAAACGATCCTTGGACAATGATTATGATTTTCATGGAGAAACCTTCGATACTTTAAAGCTTATATTATTTAACGTTACGGATGATTATGATTTTCATGGAGAAACCTTTGATACTTTAAAGCTTATACAATTTAACGGTACGGATTTTTCCTCAGATGCCGGAAGAGAAAAGCACAACTTACAGAGGAACGGGGTATGGTTGTCTCATTGCAGTTATATAAAGAAGATGGAGAGGAAACAAATGAATTCAGCACCAGCCATTCTGCTTGTTTCATTACAATTGTAGAGCTAACTGGAGACCTCTGTTCTTAAAAAAGGGGCCAAATGACCAAATATAAAAAAGGCAAACTTTTATATATTTCATGTATCCTCAACAAGAGTCATCTGAAATTATGGAAGTATGACAGCAGCTAACAGATCTTATCAAAGCTTCTTGGTTCTTAATACGTGCTAGTTCACAAAGGCAGTTTCTTATTTACGCTCATGAATGATGTTGTAAAGAGCTATCACTGTCACAAAATGAAATCAAATATCATGTTTTTAATTCAAAAACATATTAAAACAAAAGTCCAATTTAGCACATGTGTACGAAGTTAAAAAATTTCATGGAGCAATGTTGATGGTAATCAACAAAGACTAGTGCACACACCTTGGAGCATTTTTAAGGACTTCAAATTGTTCTTCTGTTGGTAAAGTGCGGCCAAATACATCTTTTGGCCTTGGTTTCTTTTTCTCCTGAGCAGAGGGCATAGACTCTGTCATCCTGGCAAAGAAGCACCATTTACATTTATTTTTATACGTGCAATGGATTTAAAAAATAAAAAATCATTTGGTAGAGTAGTGATCTAACTATCTCAAAATGAGGTGTATATTTTATTAACCATTGTTTCATGTAAAATCCATTACACTGATGATGAGGCTCCAGCAAGAGATGGCTCCTCAGAGGCACTAATACTTTGGTCCTGCTTCTTTCCCTCAACCACCATCTCTGCAGCTTTTGCACTCTCCGCATTGTAACCAGGAGGTTTTACATACATAAAGCTTACAGCTTTCATCATCTCCAACTGCACAATCACAATCGAGTAAAAATTGCAATCATCCACCATCCATGCCTATGTTAAACTGTGATCAATCACTCTCCACTAGGATTCAATAGAGCTATGGTAAATACTATTGTAGCCTCATCTGAGCCAATGCCAAAATAACAATCCCATTCTACAAATGCATCTGTGAGAGAGATTGGAAATGACACTCCAAGCTTTTACTTATTGTTCTAGCAAAGTTTGGCATTAAATATTGCACATAGCAGAAGCAACGGATAATCAACTATATATTATGTTTCAACCTCCCAACATTTTTTCAGCATCATATATCTAATATCTCCTTATACAGGTTATATATGGATTTGCCTGTACTTATGCTGTTTTCTCCTTTTATACGAATTCTTTTATAGCCTTCAATATCCCATTTCCACTTACATTTTTATATAATTAGTTACCTTTTCTTTCTCTTTCTTGGAGATAAGCGCAGTCTGCCGAAAAAAATCCTGCTCTTGAGCATACTGTTAGAGAAAAAAACACAAAATGAATAAGAAAACGTTATAGTTTGATGTTATAAAGAAAACTTTGTTATATATAATGAAAAAAACAAAAGAGACCCACAGAGTGGCACCAAAACCCCAGGCGAAAAAAGAATAAGAAATTTAAAATTAAGAAACAAAAATGGAAACTTTAATGAAGACTCCAACAAAATACAATGTCAGAATATCAATGACAAAACAAAGCATTAACTTTCCAGCTGACTTGACAACAGTCAACACATGGTAGTTCTTAAAACAGATGCAGCTTGCCCCCTAGCAGCAATTTAAGAAGAAATAGCTGTCGTTTCTACAATGCAGTCTTTAATCTTGGAGTCAAGATTGAGGAACGTTATTTCCTTTACGACTGGAAACATTGCAAATTCTTAATGCAATCCCCCGAACACGCGCATTAGTAGTGCTGAAGTGGCTTTCCCGCAAGCAATACAATTAAGCGATTAAGCTCATTTCATGAGAAAACAAGAAAATTCATCGAAATTTCCTGATTGAACGCACTGAAGTATTGTACCTTCGGGGGGGGGGGGGGGGGG